GATTTCCCACAATTTTCCCCTGCTATCTCCCTGCTTTAGTTTTGTTTTTCTAGCGAAGAAAGCATCTCTCGTGGTTAATCCCATGTGAAAAACATTGTCAGAAGGGGCAGTTTGAACGAAAACCTCGAATCTATGGGGCTGTAATGGCTAAAGGAGAGCCGATAAATGTTTTAGTCCAGCAACAAGCATTTGAACATGGTTTCTTGTAGTCCTAGGCTGAATGCTAATGTAATGGATCTTGTGCTAAAGAGTTCTGGAGCAATTCCACGAGTATTATTTAAGATATCAATAGCTTTGAAACCCGACTACCCGAGAGGCCGAGTTTCCAGACACAGATGGTGTTACGCAAAGGATCAGAGGTGAGGAAATTGGGCAAGGCTTTGGAGGTTTAAGAACTGAATTCCAGGGATTTTNTTGGAGGATTAAGAACTGAATTCCAGGGATTTTATTGATCAAAGTTTTGGCTTCAGCAGCCAATTCCATTGCTCTGTTGAAAATATCTCTTGGGTTCTTGCTTAATTGATGCCTAGCAGCATCCAGTGAAGACAAAAGGCGCCAATTTGTACTGGTGGTTTGAAGGGTATGCAGATATTTGTGTAGTCTGTCTGTGTCTATAATATCTCCTGAAATGTGTAGCATTGATTAAAGAGTTAGAGAGGTTAAGACTTTGAGTGGATTGTATAGAGATATCGGCACCTTGTTTGAGGGCTGTATTGGGCAAATCTGGGTGAAATTTGGAAGTGAGCTCCGTGAGCTTCATCGACTGTCAGAGGAATACCATAAGAGTGACACGACTTTGAAATCTCACTCAATGTGCTGCAAAGACCGTTGTAAGTAGGGCATTTTACCAACACTGCAGCCACTTTCCGGACCTCCAATTCCAATTCCGATCTCTCCATGGCAGTCTTTACCTGTAATAACAACTACACGTGTTACTTGTGTAGTTGCATGTTTGTGTATTTTGATTTATGCCTTCACATGGAGTCTCAAAAATCCGATCTATGCAAAGGTTGTAGAAAGTTTCTAGACAAGACAGAGAGTCACAAAAGGGAGATGTTTTCAGCAGTTAAATTCGCATGCGCTGTACTGTGCAGTGTGGTCCGATACAGTATCAAAAAATACCCCGACTAAGGTTCTTAACATTTAACAAACCTGTGAAGGTCCCGATCGCAGTTATATTCGGGAATAATATACTTTGGTACTGCTCCAGAAAGTATAACTCCAGCAATGATGAGCATTTCCTGGCAGGATGATAGTATTTCCTGGCGAACAAGTAGCCATAATCGATGCCTGGATACCACAACTCGTGCCCGCTGCGAGAAACCAGGTTTCTTTCTCTCCAAAAACCTGTGCTGCTTGCTTTTTTGCTTCAAGAAGAGGTCCAACTGGTGCATAAAATCTATCAAGCTCTGGAATTTCAGTTACAACATGAATAAATGGTTCGATCCCGATTAGTTCACTCAATATTTAAGGCGCAGCTCGTCCTCTCGTACGTCCAGGAAAGTGAAAACCCGTTTTAGTCTGCTGTGCTGAAGCTTTAAGTATTCTAATCAATGGAGGTAGAACAGATTCTTTAGCTACTTGGGAATTAGGATTCACAATGTTTTCATTTGCCACCAATTTATTGCTTTCTCCAAACCTCAGCGCATTTTTTTTTCCTGAGCCAATGTTAATCACTTAATAGAAATCTAAATTATAGGGCTACCAATGTTTCAACTGCATGCGAACACACTTGTGCGTGTATGCCAGTGCCGTGTTTGAATATTTTTTTGCTTTTACGCGAGAAAGGGGAATCCAAGTCGACATTATTGAGTGCATTCCCACCCCTCTCTATCAGACTAACGAAGTCTAGTAAGAGGCGTACCATGTGCACGAGCGAGTGATCGACATTAGTATTTTACAAGTTTTTCCTTTGTTGAAACAGTTACTGAAGTAACAGTTCAGTAATTCAACTTTAAAAGTACAATAACGAAAGATTTCAATATGAAACTCACCATCTGCTGCTGCTACTTTGCTCGCTGTCTCAATTTGATCAACTCAACCATATCACATATAATGGCAGTGGGGGAAGACGGCATGTTGGCAAGAAAAAAAAGTACGCGCATTGTCTGACAGCACTGATCAATAGAGTGAACATCAGGAATTCGACGTGATTATAACAAATTGTACGATAAATCGGACAAATATCGTCCATAGTCATGCCACATGAACATGCTACGAGCCAAATTTACCTAGCTTCCTGTTAGTCTCTCTGGACAGTGACTAGCAAGGCGTATCGTCAAAAAAATGTTTGAGGGAAGGGAAGGTTTCACGGGTTACCTTTCTTCTTAGCACAGAAAGGGACGCCGTGCGGCAGTAGTCTGCTCCGCTAGACTACCTTCCGCCTTTTCTCGGTCGTTCCGGGACGAAAAGAAATTTGATCACAATTTAAAGAAAGCTTACAATTTGAAATTGAAATGCATTGAAATAAACTTGATCATTGATTGCTTGAAAGCTGAACATTACATTAGATGAAAGCAGGAAATTACAAT